TGAGCAAGCTTCTCAGCTAGCTGCTCCGCACCACAGGCTGTGATACCGTTGTTCTCCAGACTGTTGGAAGGAAGGGAGGGAGAAGCATAACAAGGGTATGAATGCTTTTATCAGACCAGGCCTATCTGCACTACACTGTTTTAACAACTTGAACCCACTTTCGCTACCTTGGCATCTTCCCATGGAATCTGGTTAGTGTCATTTGGTGACGGACTTAGGATTCGGTGCTGGAGAACTTTACAGTCTTTCCCAGAATAACCAGGAACATTCAAGGTCTCTCACCAAACTATAACGTACCAGGATTTGTTAGGGTCAGAGCCATGATCATGGCAGGGTTAACAAATTGCTGTAACTGTCTAGCATAGAAAGTGCGTAACAAAAAGCCACAGGAATTTCAAGATTTCTTAAGACTACAAATCTCATGTCTCCATCCCAGGAGTTCCACTTGATGGACTCACACCTACTGACACCTAGGTTTGGCTCACCTGGAGACAAGGCCGAGCTGAGAAGGCTTTGTTGCTCAATGTGGGCTTGGCTCCATCCTAGCTTCCTGTTCAGAAAGGAAGTTGCCATCCTCCTCAGCTCGGCCTTTTCTCCAGGTGAGCCAAATTTATGGGTCAGTGGGTGTGAGTCTGTCTAGAGAATTTTTGAATGTATAGCCCAAGAAAGAAAGAAAGAGAGAGAGAGAGAGAGAGAGAAAGAAAGAAAGAAAGAAAGAAAGAAAGAAAGAAAGGAAGGAAGGAAGGAAGGAAGGAAGGAAGGAAGGAAGGGTTTTTGGATGGATGGATGGATGGATGGATGGATGGATGGATGGATGGAGAGTGTATTTATATAGTATATTCTCCAGTCTCTTTCGTGTGTATGCCGTTCTAGAAGTGGTTAGAAACTGAATGCAATAAAAATGAATGAATAATGTAACCATTAAAGTTAACTAAAGAAACAGCTAATGAATAAAATACACGCTTGCTGTGGATATTGCTAGATACCGGTCTTCCTTCTGCTCTAAATCAGAGTACGCTCGCTCAGCCTCTAGTGAGGCCCAGCAAGTTCACTAAGTGTTGTTTCTTCCCACCAAGGCTTTGGGTTAGCAGAACCGGTACTCACTTCAAGAGTCTCAGTGTCACCATCCTTGGGAGAACCTTGGCTAATTGCAGCGCCGTCTCATCCCCCAGTTGGTTCCAGGACAGGCTAAAGAGAGCCAGAACCGTTAATCTGGCTGTGTTATGCATCTGTGGTGCCAGAGATTAGGAGTTTGATTCCCCCACTGGGCAACCCAGAAGAGCCAACCCTGGTGGCCTTGGGCATAAGCTACACAGTCCTAGGGCTTCCCCCCCCCCCGAAGAAAGGGAGGGTCAACCACTTCTGCGCATTCTCTACCTAGAAAACTTTGGAAAGAGTCACTAGAAGTCAGAATTGACATCCCCATCATTAGAATGGCAGAGCAGGAAAGGACCCTCTGGATCACTGATCCGGCTCCTATCACAGAGGCACAGCGGGAAGTTGAGCCCCCAACCTCTGGCTCTGCAGCCAGAGACCTAAACCATCAGACACCCACTACTCACAGGTGAAAGAACATTCATACTCACTCAATATCTTCAAGGAGGAGGCAACGGCTAATTCCCCGGGCCAGAGACTCGGAGACAGAATCACTGATCCCACAGGCCTTCAGTCTAAATAAAGCAGGAAATAAAGAAACAAGTTTTGCAGAACTTTAGCAAGTTTATCCCTGGTTTTACTGCCAACTGCTAGCCCTGGGTAGAAACCCAGGGAATGGTAATTTTATAGAGGTGGACACTTCTCTTTGGGCTCACCTTCCCTATCACATAAGATGAATCGGCTGCTCCTTAATCTATATTGAATCCTAGTCTGCATTCATAAACAGGGGACTTCAACCAAGGAACCTTGGCCTCTCCTTTAGAAAGTCCAACAGTACACTGAGGATATAATCAATATCCATCACAATCATATTTTGTTTGTTTGAAGTTCATAACCACACCTTAAAGACCTGCTTTGTCACAGCAGAACCTTCCTTGCTGATGTATCTTGCCAATAAGATGGCTCTGCTTCTCTGATTGGTCATTGGACGGTCAACACACACACTTCTTTTGCAAGTCTGGTAGGGTCAGGAATGAAGCTCTGTGGAATCCCTCCCAGCTTTTTAAGGATGCGCCTTGCCTTCGTTGGATTTAAACCAACAAATCAAAGCAGGAGAAGACTTACTTCATTTTCCTGAGTCGGGAGGACTGGGGCAGTTGCTCTGCCAGGACTGTAACGCCTCGGTCCCCGAGGCTGTTTGATGATAGGCTGCAAAGTGAAAGAGGGCGATGAGGCCAAAGCATTGCAGTTTAAAAAAATAAATATACTGATCACTGGAAGAATATAATATGCTCTCAATTATTTATAAGTGGCAAACAACTTTCAGCCATAGGATGAGTCTTTTAAATATTCAACCCTCTAACCTCGTTCTTGGAATTGTACTGTGCAAAGAGTTAAGCATCATCCTCTTCTGTCTGTCGCCCTCCCGCCTCCTTCTACCTTTTTATTTCCTAAAATACATCCGTTAAAGGGTTAAAGCTGCACGCTGTCTTTTGAGTGTCAGATCCTACCCTGACACAATTTGGAGGCAATCCTTGTTTTCAGTTTTTCCTGTTTTCCCTGATTTGGGGGACTTTTCCTGATTTTGTTAGTTATCATCATCATCATCATCGAATTGCACAGCTGGAGTCCAACCCTTGTCAAGGAGGCCCGGGGGGGGGGAATCGAACTCCCAACCACTTGCTTTGCAGCCAGAGAGCTAAACCACTGAGCTATAAGTCAAGAGTCTATATGATTGTATCATCATATTTTTGTTACTGCAAAATGAAGCTTTGGCTTCTTTTCTCGCCAAACTTGCATTTACCTGATTTCCTCTATCTGTTGACATTTCGAGAAAACTCTGGCCAAATGAGCCACTCCCTCAAAGTCGATATTGCAGGAAGACAGGCTGAGAGAAGAACAAGAGGAAATTTCAGTGGGATCTTGCGAAGGATCAAAAATGGATCTGAAGAGACACACGGGACTTCCACTTCCTCTCTGTCCTTCAGGGGTTGGCCAAGTTGAACTACTTTTCCCAGTGTCTCCAACCCACACTGACCATAGTGGTTGAGTAATTATGGGATGGCTCATCCAACCACAACAACAAAAAGACTCCATTTCCAAGCTCTGTTGTTCCCCTGCTGAGAGTAGGTTCCTGTCTCTCCCTGAGCTGGTCATCCTAGAGACTGAGAGAGCTAAACTGGAGTCACTCCTTTTATAAGACCAGATGGATCCTCATTGGCTCCTCAGGACAGCTGACCTGCGACAGCGCCCTCCGACCATTTCTAGGGGTAGTGCGGAAGCACAGCACAGATCAGGCTGGCAGGATCAGCTACCGGCAGTGATGCACAGAGCCCCTCCAAGTACTGGTCAAACAGGACACAATGACAGGACAGGACAAAGAGGGATTCACCCATCCTGTGCCATGGTGCTTACCATAGGACCTTCAAGTGGTGCATAGAAGTCAGAATAGGAGCCAGTTTTTCCAAACACTCATTTCCGATCCTGTTTCTCGACAAACTGAAAGAAAGTAGAATGTGGAATGCCAACATCTCCCCAAATGCCAGCGAAAGGAGCAGGTTCAGAATGCATGCCATACTCTTAGTACATGTCCCTAAGTTTCTTAGGCTCTAAGTGGGATGGTTGCTGCATGGGTTTTTGCTTAGGTAAAGGTAAAGGTTCTCCTTGACATTTAGTTCAGTCGTGTCCGACTCTAGGGCTTGGTGCTCATTCCCGTTTCTAAGCCATAGAGCCAGCGTTTGTCCGAAGACCATTTCCATGGTCACATGGCCAGCGTAGCCCCACTAACTTGAGGTTGTAATAGCACACTTTGGTGTGTATAGTTTGTTCTGATTAATCAAAACCTCTCCCTTAGGATATCCGAGCATGCACCATGTTAACAGCACAAACCAAAATTGACAACCTGAATCATAAATAGCAGAGAAAGGTGGAAGGCTGATGGAGATGATGAGAGAAAGAGACAGAACTTGGGAGGCCAAGCATACAAGCATGCTCTATAGGCTTGCTGAAAATTTCGGGGTGGACATTCTGGCTTACCGGAGCACTTCCAGATTCTTGCTACTGGCCAAAGCTTCCATAAAATGCTGTCCTCCCACACAGCCAATGCTGTTGCATGTGAGGCTAAAACAATGTGCAAGATGATCGGGTGTTAATAGTCAGCTGCAAATGAGGCACAGTTTAGCTCCTGTGCGCTCACACTCAACCCTAACCGTGTCCAGTTTTTGCTGCCAACCCAGATCTTGTGACCTAAGGAACCGATCAAGGCTTGCCCAGACCTATCTCACTGTTCCTCCAGGCCCGTCTTGGTTCCTCCGTATCAGTGATTCTCCACCTTGGGTCCCCCCCTCCAGATGTTCTTGGACTGTAGCTCCCAGAAATCCTGGCTGGCACAACTAGGGGTGAAGGCTTCTGGGAGTTTCAGTCTAAGGACATCTGGGGACCCAAGGTTGGGAACCATGGCTGTATATGAACAAACGGTCCATGTGAGAAGGCATTGAATAATGTCATCTAGCATCACCCCTCCCATTCACCTAATAATCCTCGCTTGCTCACCCCCTCTGGACCTTGGACACCAGCATGTAGGGACTTTAACATTTACCTTCTCAGTGAATCCTGACACCTACATAAACCCTCCATAACTCCTTCCTCTCCCACAGTGAGGCACCTGCTCTGTGACTTTTGAGGGGTTTTTTTTGGGGGGGGGACGACAGCTGGGATCTTTCCAACTCCCACAATCTTTCCCATAAATCAAATCTCTAGTCTGTAGATCCTTGACTGGCTTGAAACAGACCCAAGAGACTCACATGATTTGCTTCACCTTCGGCATTTCCCGAATGGCTCTTGCTATTTCTTCCATCCCAGCGTCGTCGATCTTGTTGTAGCTTAAACTTGAAAAGAAACCCCCATAGCTTGTTAAGAGCAAAGAAAACATTCACATTATCATTGATGTGCGTTCATTTTTTTTCACCTGGCTATCTCTTATCTTCTCCCATTAAAGACAGGAGCCAGTAGGAATGTGAACAGATAATCTAATCACAACTATACAACACGCAATTCTGATGGCCTGATACACTTTCTGCACCCATTTCAATGTGGATAAAACTGATGAGGCAGCTCAGCTGGGCATTTCCTCTCCTCTGTAGCCCTGAAAGGTCTCAATAGGGGCCGCCTGACAGATGCAGACGAGTAAAGCAACATCAGGGCCGGCCCTCCCATTAGGCAGGCCATGGCAATAACCTTGGGGTGCTGAAGGAGAGATTCTCTGCATGAAAACATTTTCTCCATGTGGCTCAATTCTGTGACCAGAGCCAGCCTGGTGGGAAAACTCGCGGGAAAAATATGGACCTACTTTATTTCTTCCATGTGAACAGCCTTCCTCAGAGCCTCTGCAAGGCAATAGCAGGCTTCACTGTTGAGATGGCTATTGGTCAAACTGGAAAACAGTAACGGAATACCAAACATTATTCTGTAGAAGATTTGTAGCCTCGTGCAATCTGAGTGGCCAGCTTAGGTGAGTCAAAGATTTGGGGGTGAATTTCACACAACCCTATCCCAGAAGCCAGAGGTTTAAAGAGAGCCGGCTGGATAATTTTCAAAATTTTGAATTTGAATGAGTAATATTTTTCTCTCCCAAGTTCGGGGTTTATAACACTAATAATTCTGTGCCATCAGGTCAGTTCTGACTTACAGCAGCCCCTTTTAGGGTTTTCCAGGTAGAGAATACTCAAAAGTGGTTCACCATTCCCTCCTTCTCGAACCATCCTGAGACTGTGCAGCTGGCCCAAGGCTACACAGGCTGGCTCTTCTCCCAGGAGGTTCAGCGGGGGCGATTGAACTCCCAACCACTGGCTCTGTAGATAGAGACCTAACTCACAGAACTATCCGCCCAGCTTTACAAACTGGCCTGATTAAAAATCCCGCCGTCGGGTTGAAAGGGTGGACCCACTCACCTAAGTCGTCTCAGGGAAGATAACGTGGAAAGCGCTGAAATCAGGATCAGGATATCTGCACTGCCAAGATTCAGAGGTCCAAGGCTGAGAAACAGAGACAATTGGGGTGGTAGAGGTCGAGCAATGTAACCCGGAATGACCTTATTGAAGGGCACCCTTTGATGACTGAAAGGCAACTTACCTTAAGCTCGTCAAGTGATGCTTGCCTTCTAGTACTGTGAGCAACACCCTGGCTCCGTCCACACTGAGTTCACTTTTGGAAAAGCTAAAGAGAAAGCACCACAGTTATGTATTCAGGTTGCCAATGGGTTGCCCACAAGAGGGTGCAAACGGGAACCTGAAGTGGCATGATATGTTTTTTCTCTCTCTTTCTTCCTTTTTAAAATGAGGCAAAAATTCCTGCACACCAGAGAATTATGATCATCGCTGGTTTTGCATCAAACCAAGAGGAGTGGTTTGCCTTCCTCACTCTTTTCCCTCCCTTCTCTAGTAGGAAAAAGTGAGGTCAAGGTTTAACTCTACGACAGATCCCTAATGAGGAATTGCCACCCCCCAATGATAGACATTGTAGATCCATGAAAAGGCGACCGGAGGGGGGGGGGGACACAAATCTGCAATTGATCCCCAAACTCTAACTGGCAAAAAAAAAATTACAAGGGTTTGCCAAGATGTAGAAACAATAAGTTGAGCCTGTGATGTAGAGAAGACTCAGACAACAGATTTTGTTGAGGGAGTGGACAGGTGTCTTTCCAGTATGTACGTGAATGTAAAAAAAAAAAAAAAAAAAGACCCACCCCAAAACAAAACAAAATCTCTTTCTTTTACAAAAAACTGGAACCTTTTCTATGGTGGTGGCCACTGCTCTAGAACGCCTGGCTACTGGGTGGGAGATTCTAGATGTTAGGGTCTCAAAGACCAAGCTTTACGTCCTACCATCAACCCTTGTGACCTACTCAATTTCTTCAACGGCATGACACCGATGCAACGCTGCAGCCAGCCGCTTGAATCCAGCAGAAGAGAATCTGCAACAAGTTAACCTGGAATTTTTTTAAAAAGAAAGAATAGAGGAGGTCAGCAAAGGACCATCATGTTCTGCTCACCAACACCAAACAGGGAAAAAGCACATCGGTCTGTGCGTTCTATGAGCCATGCGACAGGACCCCCCCAAAACGAAGAGCTCAAATTGAGGACAGGGAGATGACAGCTTATAAAAGGATGCTCTGTTGTGCTCCACAGCCAGAGACCTCAACCACTAAGCTGGCCATCCAGCGAGTTCTGATTAAAATCTGCAGCAAAGCCACTATCCCCATGAGGTTTGAATGGCCATCCTCCACCAGAATCTAAACCACAGAACAGTCCAGAGAAAGCATACTCAAGCTTCTTCAATGCTGGAAAATCCAACAGGGCATCCGAGACTATTTCTGCTTCAGCATCTGTAAACTCTACCTGGGAACAGCTGCAATGATAAAAAAAGCATGCATGCCAGGTATTCATTTGGAAGAGGACAAAGTGGCTGAAAGTGAGCAGCATCTAAAGAGGTCCTACCCTTTGTCTTCAGACAGCACAGAGCCTCCCAGAGGACCATGTCATGACATTAATCAGAGCACAGATAAGTTACTTTTCTGGATTCCAAAATCCTGCCCTCCTCTAGATGAATCGCCCAGCCAGTGTCACTAGGGGGAATCTGGGGGTTATAGTCCATAAAAAGTAACTTGTTCATGTTATGCATAAATTGTATGTATTTGTAATTAAGACACAGGATGTCGGAAATGCAAAGAGCACCCTGTTTGTGTGGAGGATGGTGAAAATTAATCATCGGTATTCCAGCAGGCAAGGAAGGAAGATTTAACTCTTTCATCCCCTGTGGAGGGAAATTCATCTCCCG